TTTTCTCGGTCACCTTCCCTCCAGGAAGTGAGAGAGCGTGCAATGGGGTCTTTGAAAGTATATGACATCACAATGGATTGTGGCTGGGAGAGGCAGTGCCTGGACTGAGGAAAAACAACTTTATCAGTGTTGATAACCAGGCATCAGTTAACTCTTGCAGTCTTCGCCTAGGGATCTTATTTTACCTGTCCAGCATCCTTGGGGGTCCGCATTGCTACTTCATTTTACAGTTGAGGAAAATGGGACACAGAGGTTTTTAAGTATCTCACCCAATGTTACCTAGCTGCTCCTGAAGCAAAATGTTCTGTCACTTCCCCACACCTGGCTCTTTGGTCAGACCCTTGGGATATGACCTTAACCCTGCTTCCACTTCCCAAGCTTGTCTTGGATCTGATAAAGAAGGGAAGGGAAGGGCTGGTGTGGCCAGAGAGCCAACCCCCAAGTTGGAGAGGCTTCAGCGTTGGCAAATCTGAGCCTGCCCAGATCTGGCACGCTGGCAGCCTGACTTCCGCCTTCTTTGCTCGCTACGTTCTGAATTGTGACTTTTGGTTTCCTTGTGCTGGGTAGGCACACGGTCTCCAGAAGCCCCAGCTCATTTTATTGCTTTGAGATTCCGCTTTCTGCCTCCCGCCTGCTCTCCCCGTCCCAACGCCCCATCTGTCTTTCTTCACACCCTTGTCTCATTTCCACATCTTTGTGCTATTGTGTTTGTGTTCTTTCCTTGACTTTCTTCCTGTACTGTTTCTACTACATGTTAACCTTCAGGAGATATATATCTCTCTCTATATATCTATATATCTATATAATACATATGCATACATATTTCTCTCTCTCAGCTTACAAACTTTTCTGTATGTATGTTACTGAATATGTGTGTGTTTCCCCCTCCCCTGCCCCTTCCAATGCTGGATATTAAACCCAATGCCTTTGCTTATGCTGGCATTAAGCTACATTCCCAGTCATTTTCCCCCCTCTTCATTTCTAGGGTTCAAGAGACAAGGAGGTATTTACTCTACATAGTCCCCCCTTTTTAAAAGAATGGGCTAAAAGCTTTTACATTTGCTTCCAGCTTTAGTCACCAGAAAGTGCCACCTCCATAAGAAATCTGTGTTTCACAGAAAGTGCTGTGCCTTGTCCTCCATAGGTACCATTCCCAGCGACAGGAAGATTTAGCCACCCCAAAGCTGCTCTGACTTCTCATTAAGCCTCACACAGATTCTTTATGGAAGACGCTCTGGACTTCCACTTGGTTCCACCCCATAGTTCTACAGTTAGAACCACCGTCTTGTGAACTGTGTTGTCTCAGTGTCTTCTCCACAGATCCTGTCTTCCGAGGGAATATAGCCCCACGACTTGCTTCCCTACTATTGGTTTCTACCCTCCACCATCATCTCTGGAATATGGACCCTTCCTACCTAACTTAGTGATTCTGTGGACTTCAATAGATGTAAAACCCTTGACAGTGTTTCTTCTGGGACTTCCAGGGTCATGAAGTTGGGTAGGGCATCCTTCCAGGAACCATTCTGGTGGCTCCAATTACAGGCAAGAAACCCGAATAAAGCCAATCTTATACCTGCAACTTCTCCTCACTATTCCATAACAGCACATGCGTTCTTCAAAGGGAAGCAACCATGTTCCATTGTTTAACTTACTCTTTCAAGGTCCGCAACATTTTGCTGAACTGTTTTAGTGTATACGTGTATCTGTGTGGGGGCATATGGGAGGGTATGCACATGTGCATGGTATCAAGGTATAGACACAGAGAGGTGCTACATAGCTTCACTAGCACACACCAGAAAGATGAGGCCTGGGGAGTAGCTCCTGGGTGATAGGCAATGCTCCACTCTAACTCTCCAGCTATTTTGAGGAACTGTGAACTTGAGCCAGAAACACTGTTAGAGACGGGTTGGGGACAAATCAGTTCCAAGTGCTTTCAAATTCAAGGACTTCTTAAAAGGCTCTTCTAATAACCGTTGCTGGCAACAATTTCAGCAGAAGTGGTACCTTCAACTGTTGAACCCGCTTATCCAACATTGAGCATCACTCAGCCTCTTCATTTCACCTGGTCTCTGTGCATGTTTCCACTCCTTAGGAGAGCAAACGAGCCCTCCATATTTCCTAGTTTCTTCTGTTGCTGGATTCACTACCAACCAGCGCTCCCAGCAATGCTTCTCGCCCTGATCTCTCTCCCAGCAGAGGCAGCTTCCCTGAAGCCTGCCTGACATACCAGCTCTCTTATGGGCTGAGGACTGAATTCCCAGAATTCTCCGTCTTTGTGTGCCTACTGCAGGACCCTGGCTTCCCCATTCCCAGGATGGTCCTGAGCTCCAGGCTCTGTCGTATGTTGCTTTCTTGCGGGGGTGGGAACTTAGGCATTATCCTGTGAGGTCAGAGTGACAGCCTTAGCTGGGTGAGACATTGACCTTCATATGTGAATGTTGAGATTTTTGTCTGATTTTTAAAACCCTCCTGCCCAAAGATTTATGAGATGGTATTTTTGAATCACTCATTGAATTCTATTTTAAAAATCAAGTTCTCTTTGAATTTCAAATAGTTTTTGTGTAATATAGATAGCTTCTGTGTTATGTGTGTAAGTTTTGGTCATCATTTCTACATCCCAGCCTGATCCTATTCCCCTTTTCTTGTATATGTGCACATACATATATTTGCTCTTGTTCACTTGTTTAATGTTTCAGAAGCATTTTATTTGAAGTGTAGCTCTTCTTAAGGAACATGCTATCAAATGTATAAAGAAAAAAAAAGTCACCTATTTCCAGTCTTTTGATAGGAAAACCCAGCCATTTACGACGGGAAAGCTCTTTATGCTTTTCATCCTGCCTTATGTTTACCATTTAGTTGACAACTATCCCTTTAAAGTTTGATTTTCCTTCTCCTCTGTGTGTTCTGTCTGCTTTACAAGTCACGTAGTTTTCTGTCCCCATTCATAGTGATCTCCCAGTTCCTGACACTCACGGTCGATCTGTGTTTTACTAGTAACAAAAAGGCTGAAATGTTCCCTGGTCCCATTAGCTGTGACCTCTTTTCTCACCAATATTCACATCTGTTCACATCATTACCAAGCTACTCAGCACACCTGGCTGATCTTCCACCTGAGAGTGGGCCTCCAAGGCTTCCCCAAAGACTGTTTTCCACTGACTGTTTGGATCTGAGGAGTCCCAGGTACTGATTTCTGAAACCTCATTTTGAAAGCTGGAGGTCTCTCTCTCAGACTAATACACCTGTCATCAGATCCATTAGAGGACACAAGGGAACAGATTGGACTTGAGAGGGTAAAGAAACTGTCCCTGAGGGCACCAGAGAGGGACAGACATGCAGACATAGAACCAGGCCCCAAAGACGTTGTGGAGTGACGTTGGACTGTGAGTAACCTTGCCTGGGAAAGGGACCCCTTTGCAGCAGACATTGAGCTCCATAGTGCCAAAGTTTGTTGGGGCTCTGCATTTGTGAAAGTAAAGGAAATGTCACCCCTTGGGGTCACAACCAAGGGCAGAGGAGAGGATGGGGTATTTATAAGTGGTCTTGGAGGTGTGCGGTGGGACCCTGTTGGGGAGGCAGGACTTCCGGCAGAGGTCCCTGACAAATAGGCTTCCCAACTAGGGCCTCATTGCCCTGGAAGGGTGAGACCTTGGCTGGGGACAAGGAAGGCTAGATCCTAGGGTTGTACAACTGGAGGACAAAGGAGCAGTCAGATCCGCCTGGGGTTGAGGCTACAGTTACATAGATGGGAACAGGGGGCAGGAATCACCGACTCTCCTTCCTGTTGTGGTAAATGATAATCCTCACACCATTCTTGTTACATAGTGGGTACAGACCCATAGGCTCTGCTTTTCCAGAATCTGCCCAGGGCCACACATCTAACAGGTGGGATTTCTGGGGAAAGCCAGTTCTTTTTGATATCAAAGTCTCTAGATACTTCCAAATATTTCACATACTTTAGTGAGCTTGGAGTTTAGGCCTTAGACTTACACATAAAATTGAGGGAAACGGCCTGGAGATCAGACACAACCAGGGACTGGCCAGCCTGTAGACGAACTCTTAAAGACGACAAAGGCCGTCTGCCCCCAGTTCACTTCATACCGTTTTGGTTAGGAGCACGAGTGAGAAAGCTGGACTGGCTGGCCCCTCAGCTAGGAGCTTCCAAGGGATCACTTAAGACTTCTCTGCCTCCCAAACCATGGTCAGAACTACCACTAAGCTTTCCACTGCCTCGTCTCTGCCAGCTTCTGATGCCTCCTTTCCAATTCTTTCTAAAATCACAGTTGTAGGAAGGTTGTTGGAAGGCAGGGTGGGTTCTCTTAACTCATCAAAGGGCGCTCGGTCTGGTCTAGTCCCTAGTTTCTCACTTGAAACGGAACCATATCTTTAACACGCTTACAGGGTGGAGAATAAAAACTGTAAAACAAAAATGAAAAACATTCCTTATCAATCAAATTCTGGCTGTCTGGGCACTGCTCTCTCTGGACTAGGAAATTGTAACCAAGTGTAAGAAACACAACTCAGATGTCTTTGAGGGTGTGAAACGCTGATCGTTGGTAAAAGGAACTTCCATCTAGTATGTGTGTCACAAGTTTGGTGTTCGAAGAACTCAACCACGCTATTACCGTAAGCTAACCAGCAAAGAGAATTGATGACTAAGGCTGTAGCTAGTGGAGAATGTGCAAGTAAAAACGCATTTAGAAAGATGAAGCTTCTTAAACGTACGTGTTTAACAAGTAGCACTACACAAAACTCTGCACATAGCAGCAGGCTTCTAGTTCTATGTAGCTCACTACTTAAAACTATGTTGGGCTTAGAAGAATGACCAATGTCAAAGATACGTAGAAAATGAGGCTTGGAGAGGTCTGGTGAAAGAACTTCATAGAACATGCTAGGAAAGATGGAAGAGGACCCTGAAATAAGGTGGCAAGATGTCCCTGCTGCCCTCCACCCCGGCCCCCAGCAGGACCTTCTGAGCTAGGTGAGGGCGGGCTGGTAAGAGGGCTCCTACAGCAGGGCGTAGGAAAGATTCCGTGGTGAGACTTGGATAGTCCCCCTCCCCCAATGCCTTGATCCAGAAGTGTCCCAGACGGCCCCACTCCTTCAAAGAGTATGAGGCTATAATAAGGGACTGGGACCAGCCTCACAGCCCAGGTACAGTGTGCGCAAGCTCAGGACCTGATCTCAAGACCTGCCCTCTCGAAATCTCTGAGCCTTCGAGAGGTTCCTGCAAGCCTTATGGAGCCTAGGCCACTACCACCAACTTGCACTGAGCTCAATGACCAACCGCACTGATAAACAGACACAGGAGCGCACGTGCGCATGCTTGGAGTCTACTGGGAAGCCCAGCCATTGGCTCTACCCTTGGCAGGAGGCACCGGAAGTCCCAGCCAGTTCCAGGTACCCCTAGTGGTTGGAACGGAAAGCCCTGTAGAGGCCGTTGGAAGGCGTTGGCTGTTCCAGCCCAGTGCCTTTCAGTTAGGCTGGCTCCACAGAGGATGCAGCAGCTAGCCTCGATAAGGCTCAGTGGGGGCAGTGTGGGGAGGCCCATCTTCCCAAACCATAACTGTTATCAAGACCTTGAACTGTTGCATATCTATATATTCTTGTGGTGACAGTGGCCTTAGGGGAACATTAGGTAGGAGCTGTGCAAGCTCCGTTAAATAACGTCACTGACTTACCTGGTGGCCTTTTGGACCGATTCTGGAAAGTTTTCAAACCCGTCACAGGAAAGGGACAGTAAACAGGGAAACGTGTGAGCTCTTGGCTTGAGCTGACCACGCCGCAGATACTTCCTTTGAAGCACAAGGCTGAAGAGGTTTAGCCAGGTTTTTCTGACAAGAGAGCTGGCATGCCTCCTGCTTTTTAAGTGATCTCGCTTTAGTGAAGCCCAGAACCAACGAAGTAAGGCTTTTCAAGGGCCCGTAGCTTTACCCTATACCACCAGGCTCCTATACCTAGTTCACAGGGTTCTGCCAAGCCCGAGGAGACCAGGGCTTTCTGTGTATTTTCCTCCTGCTCCTTTTTGTATCAAATCCTTGTCCTTAAGTATGAGAGGTATTCTTTCTAGACAACAAGAAAAAATAATTCCCCAAGTGACTCTTAAGTCACTTTGATGTCATTGGAGAAGTCACTGTAACAAGAATATCATGAGGCTCAAGGGATTAAACTAAAGAATATTTTCTTCCAGAAATTAGGCCCTGGGAGGGAAACTTCCTTTTATCCTTTAAGGTGGGTGTAATGGCCTGTAGGAAGCTTTGAAGCTTGAGACAGTAATTTATGACAATCTTAAGTGCAAATCCTGGTGTGATTTTAGACTTCAGTCTGGGTGTGGAAACACCAGCATGGACAGGCACTGTGGGATAGAAAAGCGGGAGGTGTCCTTCCTGGAGCCACAAACTGGGAAAATGAAATGGGGTTCCCAGGAAAAGGCAGCAGGGGTGTTTAAGAAAGTCTATCTTTATCCTGTGGTGGGGTCATTCTTAAGTCTCATTTTAAAGTAGCTTAGACCTATATATAAATAACCACATGGTCATTGAGAGATGATGATTCATTAATTTTATTTCTGGGTGTCCTGACCCAAAGACACAGAGAAATAGACCCCTCCCCCTTTCGGCAGTTACAACCTCGTCATTCTAAGTGATCCTGAAAAAGGAAACAACACAGGGGAGATGATGAAACAGCGGTTTAGATATAATCCTAAGGGCTCTTAAGAATTTGGGATTTCACCTTGTGGGAATCGAATACCCTCTAAGTGTTGTGGTCCAGGATGTGGTGCCGAGCAGCGGAGATGGGTGCAGCTAACGCACGGTCTTTGTTTGATCCATTGTTCTCATGAACCACACCCTCCTGGTTTGTCTAGATCCTCTTCTAGTGCTTGACCATTAACTGTGTCAGCTGCCCACCTTCCAAAATTAGAAAGCCTTCTTTCATTTTTGATGATTTTCTTTCTCTCTGCTCTCCATGTTAGCATCACCCAAATGCCCGGGGCTCATGGCTACTATGTTCCCTGTCCTGTCTGGGACTTCTGTCCTCTGCGCTCAGTGATAGAGTGCTGCATGTAGATGGGAACCTGGGGTCGTGTCCTGCTACAGCGTATGCTAAGTCCTCTCCAGCTGAGATCACAGATGGAAAACAATAAGCTTCGGAGCCCAGATGAGATCTAAGAAGGGGAGGGGGGGAGATTGGACTGTGATGAGAAAATGGGGTGGAAACACAAAGAATGTGGATTTGGCACAAATCCAAAGTTTTTCTTGTGTTATGAGTTGTTTTGGTGGCCCTTGCTGTCACTCAAGCCACCAATTGTTGCTCATTGGGTGAAGCTACAGACCCTTGAAAGAGTCAGTTTCTAGGTTGATGGTAATTGGAAGAGCTTCTGAGTGATGCCCGAGTCGCAGAAGGGAGTGAGTCACTTGTGAACTGATGGATGCCTCCGTGGGTGCTTAGATGCCCTGCGTAGTTATTGCTTCTCTTTCACATAAACTTAAGTCGGTCTGATCCTTGCCATAAAGAAAAACTGTATTCAGAAGAGATGAAACTAAAAAGAGTGTTATCAAAGCAGAAACCCAGATGAGAATGTGGATAGAAAGTAGAAAATGGTTCCAGCAACAGAGATGGGGGGGCGGGCAGAAGATGAAGAATTATCAAGAAAAAGAGGAACATCCTAAGGAAAAGGGCAAAGGGAAGGTGGGCCAGACTGCTTTATGAAACCAGACAGAACCAGGAAAGACGAAAGCTTTTCCTCTCCCTCTACTTCCTGCCCTCCTCCTCCTCCCTTTCAAGCCCTTGCCAGGTGCTAGCTAGGTAGGTACAGAGATCGGACGAACAGACTCCGATTCTACAGTGGAAGGGGTACATTTTGGAGCAGGGACGGAAAGCGTGTCTCCACTGGCTGCCTTTCCTGGGTATGGGGAAGGAGGGATGGCCTCGGTGGTCCTGAGGCTGAGGCCAGAAAGCAGCTGGCTTGTGTCGGCCAAGGGCTCATACCATCTTTGTTGTTTCTCTTAGGGCAGTCGCTGGGGTTGTTATAGGCACAGAAGAGGCAATGGGAACCAGTCGGTGGAGCATTCCTGTGTCATGGTTGTACCTGTGGTCACTGGCAGGGAGAGCTGTGCCTCTCTTTTCTCGAAGTGCCCTCCATGCTGCTGTGGGTTGTCTAGGAGGGGTTCACCTTGACTTTCACTGTGCCTATCAGGCAAAGTGGAAGAGGGAGGAAAAGACATGTGTAAAACCACAGGTGGTGGTGGGGAAACCCACCTTGAATTCCCCCAATTAAAACAGGAAACCAAAGGCAAAGAATTTGCCATCTAATGTATGGGCCCCTGCAGGCTGGGAAACCTGAGTAGCACAAGAAAAGGTACTACTCTTGTGGGAGATGATATTAGTGCTGAAGGGCAGCGTGAGGGGCCTTACTGAAGCTGCTAGGTTTTCACCTCTAGGGTCTTTGGGAGGTGTATATGTTCCGTTTTACGCGCTCTGAAGACTCCTGTACATGGACTATCCAAGATATGAGGGAGCCCAAGGATCATTAGCCATCTAGTTTGGGACTGTGAAGCAGGCACTGAGAAATTAGCTGTGAGCTTCCAGTTTAGGGAATCTAATGGTTGACTTGCTCTGGGGAACTCTTTCCACCATGGTCTTGTCAATGCATGGGTTTCCTGGCCAGAGTTCAAAATAAACCAAAACAAGCAACCAAAGGCACAGGTAGGCATTACTTTTAGTGGTATCACTTCCATTTTACCCGATGCTTTGAGGAATGTTTGATGTTTGTGGTTCTGTAATGAGGGATGGTGTTCTAGGGAGGTAGCTACTAAAGTGATAGCATCACCATGTTTTTCTCATTGGCCATGGGCCTTTGAAACTTTAATATTAGCACTGTGCTTGGACAGCATATAGTTGCCAAAGACCGAACCCAGACGCACCAGCTTAGTGATGATGGCACCAAGCCACACACCTACTCTACTGTTGTTTCTTCAAGGGGACATCATCAGAAGAGTTGAATGCCACAAGGGGGGCCTGGCTCATGGCTAACTTACTGCTTCCCACCTTGATTTCTCTGACTGGTTGTGTTTATGGGCATTTTGCAAATTTCCCAGCATCTGCATCCTTCATAAAGTTGGGGAGTTTGTTTTCCAGTTCTTGTATTTTCCCCTGGGCGAATGGCTCTTTTTCTTAGGTGTGCTTGCCTCTGCTCCCAACAGTGAGCTGTCCTCTGTGAAGTGACTGAATAGTTCACAGCTACAGTGAAAAAAGCTCTCAACCCCCCCCCCCAAACAAACCTGCATGACTTGTGGCTGATTTCAGGTTGGGGTTGGGTTTGAAATGGAGTTTAGAGTCTCTATTCCAAAGTCAGCAATGTCAAATAACAAGCTTTCGGGTGTGCTTGCTGGTGGCAGTGCTTGGAGAATGGAATTATAAATGATGTGATGGGTCCAGACTAACTTTACAGGGTCCTGGTGGCATTCACTGCCATGCCCCTGTTGATGGGGTTTGACACAGGGTTTCCCCTTGGGAGTTAGCAAAAAACTTGATCCCTACCCCAAAAACTCTGCACTTGAACAGAGTACCAAGTCTGTGTTCTTGTTCTGAACCATGTACACGCTGGAAAAATCTCCCGACTTCTTTGGGTTTTAGTTTCCTCATGGGTAAAATTGGGAGACTAACATCTACCTCACCGAGTTGTTGTGAGGATTGAATATACTCTGTAACTTTCATGTTATGTAAACCATTGTGATTGAAAGCCAGCTTTAAGCATGAATTGGCCATATGAAGAGCATGTATGTAGACATTTCTGCCACCACACATGCTGTTTGTGTGCTGTCTGCTTAAACCTGGAGTAAAAATGGTTCTAAGTACATGTGGGTGTATAAAAAGGGTTTGTAGCTTTCATGAGCTTCCTAAAGGGGCTCCAGACCCTCAAAATTTGGAAATCAGTGCTTCAGACTTGAAGAAGCTGCATTAAAAAATAGTGATTGCTTCTAGAAGTTTCCTTTGAACATGACCACAGGACTGACTGTAATAATTTTAGAGGCAGATCATTGATGCGTTCTGGTTTCTCAGTATTTTGTTTGTCTGTTTTGTGATGTCAAGGGTTGAACCCAAGGTTTTATAACATGCTAGATATGCACTTTATGACTGAGCATTTGAGACAGGAAATGTCGGACGTATCGATGGCTTATCATCAGATTATCCAACTGTCCTTCATTTGAAGGTGAACATAAAGCAAAATCGTTAAATATTTGACCCAAAGGAAGTTGACAAGAATGTGATCTGGATAATCTCCAGAGAGACTCATTTTGATCCACTAGGAAAGGGAGAACAAAATGAGACTTGGATGGAGTATCGGGGCTGAAATGAGTGAGCATCAAAGCAAGGAGGCGATCGGACTTGAGAATTTTCATCCTGGCCAGCAGGGAAGCACATGGTCCTATTGGGGAGGGAGTCAACGTAATCCAAGCTGGAAGAAAGCTGCTGGGCGACTATTTATCCCAAGGTCTCCGACTCCCAGGGACCAGACACTCATGGTCCACATTCTGTCTTGGGACTGACTTTTCAGAGCATGCAGTCCTTCAGGGAGGGAACTTTGTCACAGGAGTGAATGCTGTGCACCATCCCTCTGTGCACTGGTGATGTGGTCCAGCTTCTTCAGGAAACAGCCATGCAGATGCCTCAGGACTCAGGTAAGTACTAGAAAGGGGGACACTGTTTGGAGAAGTCTGGGCAACTTCTTCACTGTTCTTTAAGGGGATTGGACTCCCCACTCCCACACCAGCAATTTTTTTTGCATAAAAACTTCTTTTATATTGGCAATTTACCTGCAAATTTGATAAATTCTGATGGCTTTTTGGAACATTCCCTGCAGTGTCTCACAAGGTATTCCATGCTAGTCTCAAACTTACCACATAGTCCAGGCTGGCCTGAAAATCATGAGTGCTAGGACTAGAGTGTAGGAGAGGTTAGAACCTCTACTACAAGTTTGAAATAGTGAGAGAGAGCATACTTTTCTTCTTTCTGGAGTTTAGAATAGAAGTTTTGTTTTCAGTAATGATGCAGGATATAGATTATTGGTAGATGTAGATGTCTTTAATCCAGTTGAGGAAACTCTTTTCTCATGCTAGTTTGCTGCATGCTTTTAATTAGGAATTGATATTGAATTTTGTTGAGTTATTTTTTTTCATCCTTGAAAATGATGGCTGTTATTTTGAAAAAGTAAACCAGATTTGTGTATACTGAAGAAAATGGGAGAAGAGATTAGTTTTTTTTTCTTATGACACTCTTGTGATTCTTGAAAGAATCACTGGACTTTTTTTTTTTTTGTTTTGTTTTGTTTTTGTTTTTTGTTTTGTTTTTGTTTTTTCGAGACAGGGTTTCTCTGTGTAGCTTTGCGCCTTTCTTGGAACTCACTTGTTAGCCCAGGCTGGCCTCGAACTCACAGAGATCCGCCTGGCTCTGCCTCCCGAGTGCTGGGATTAAAGGCGTGCGCCACCACCGCCCGGTGAATCACTGGACTTTTTAAGAACAAACTTCTTCTACAGTAAAATTTTTCTCTAGTAAACATTTCAAATATTTTGGCAACTTTTTAAATACTCATTTTGAGTTTTAATTAGGTGTATGTGTGTGTCTATAAGGTTATGTGCCAGCATGAGTGCAATTGCCCATGGAGGCCAGAAGATGTTTAATTCCTTGGAGCTGGACTTAGAGGTATTGTGAGCCACCCAGCATAGGAGTTGGGAACTAAACTTGGGTCCTCTGCAAGAGTACTAAGAGTTCTTGATCTCTCCCTGTCTCCAGCCCCTTAGGCAATCTTTAGGTTTTAAAGGCCATGTAAAATATGTCATTTATTATTGCTGACCATATTGTTAAATCTTTCAAATATATATTCTTAGCTCACATGAAAAAATTTTAGCCTGCCTACCTGGTTCTTGTCTGGTTTTATGATTTACCATCCAGCAGCAGTGAAAGGAAATATACACAGCCAGCCAAGTCCAGTTATGTCTAACCCTCTACGGAAAGGAAATTCTTTATTCTAGAATATTATTGCCAAATATTTTTTGAAAGTAATGCTGATTTTTTTATACTGCATATGTAAATAAAGCAAAGGCAGATAACGGGCAGCTCTCATGGCTTCTCTCAAACTAGGAGTTATTTTCTTCAAAGAATGTGGGATGGAGGAGCCCCTGTAGCCCTCAGTTGTGAGCCTGGATGTTAAAGGGTGGTGACTGATTTCCCAGACACTGGAACACTTGACTCCTTGGCTTGAGAGAGGCACCAGCGGAGATATGGCTCTTTGGTAGTGGACATAGTCTCGATGGGCTGATTGCCAAGCCTTTAAGACTTCTGAGAGTGCATTTAACTGACAGTTAGGAATGATTATGTCTCAGGTATTGTTCTAAGGAATTGAACTTGGGTTTGTCTGCTTTGCTATACAATGGGGATGACAGTGACCTAGGCATGGCTTCCTTGTAGGGAACTATGTGTTGACAATTTGGAGTCTAGGGACAGAAGACAAGCACTACACTGAAGAGTAATGCCTTGACATGTGCTTTATTTCACAATTCTACTTTTGTCCACAGGTCCCATTGCAGAAGATGAATGGTTGCCAACCAGAGATCCAGACAAAGGCCTCAGGATGTGATATCTGGAAGTTTTTCTGGCATGGGAAGGGGTATACACGTTGCATCTCGTGAGGTGTCTGTCAACTCACAATGTATTTCAAAAATATTAGAACACTATAATGTGTACACTTGATGACATATGAACTGAAGAAAATGTGTATAAAACATCTTCCAAACATAAAGGAAATATTTGGTTCTGTATGTAATAGACAATGGTCTCTTCATATTATTTGGGTTTAAAGATATTGTATTTGAGTCTTTAACTCAAAAAAAGAGCTGTGATAACTGTTCTATATTAGCCTGTGGAGGATTCTTAATTGCCAGCTGTGCCAGAGCCCTTCATCTGAAGTGAAAAAAAGTAGTGGAATATGGAGACCTTTGTCTCTGGCCCATTGGGTTGTCTTGTGCCTTAGTTACTGTTCTATTACTGTGATGAAACACCATGATCAAGGCAGCTTATAAACAGAAGCATTTAGTTGGGGTCTTGATTACAGTTTCAGAGGATGAGTCCACGACCATTATAGTGGGAAGCACGGGGGGGTGGGGGGCAGACAGGTAAGCATGGAACAGGGGCACTAGCTGTGAGTTGCCATCTGATACAAAAGACGGAGGCAGAGGAGAGGGAATGAGACTGGGCCTCCATGGGCTTTTTAAATATCAAAGCCTATCCCCAGTGACACACATCCAAGAAGGCCACACCTCTAATCCTTCCCAAACAGTTCCATTAACTGAGAACCAAGCATTTACCACCATGGGTTGCTTTGAAGCTGCTCCTGTCTAAGCCCCATGGTTTCAGATCCACGCAGCTCCCCTGTAACTCCAACCTCGTGGGCTCACTTTGCTGTTGATCATTGTAGTTCAAGGCCTAACACAGCTTTTCTTCTCAAGGGGGGCACTGCGTCAGGAGTGCCGAATGTAAACAGAGTGCTGGTGTTGGTTGGGTCTTAAATGTCCCACCAAACCTCCTGACGCATCCTGTAGCAGTGTTCAGAGCTGCACTCTAGTGAGACGTTGGCATCCCAAGAGCTCTGATACTGACATGTATTCATTTATTCACGGCCTCATAGTCTAATGGGAAGTGAGGGGTCGTTGGAAATGCTCCACCACCCCTGGCCTGCTGCCTTTCACAGCACTGGAGTCTTCAGCACGCAGCAGTGTAGCCGACTGATTGCCTCACGCAGCATCAGATGGCACTCCAAGAGAATGGCTCAAATCCGGGAACTTTGGGGATGGTCAGTTACCAAAAGCACTACTTGGGGAACAGAATAGGAGCCTTGAGAGTACACAAGGTGGCCCACCCTTGCAATCCCCTCCTTGGGGAGGCTGAGACAGGGGGATCATGATTTTGAGACCATTTTAGACTAGACTTCCACATCTGCCTAGAATTAAAAAAGCCATTTTTTCCCTCTTGTAGTGCCTGCCATCAGATGCTGCATGAGGGGGTAATCAACTATGTCAAACTATGCATACAGAGGAAGGCCTTGTCTAAAATGACAGGATCTTGATTTTATGTATATGGGTGCTTTACCTGCAAGTATGTCTGTGTACCACATGCATGCTTGATGCCTTTGGAGGCCCAAAGAGGGAGTCAGATGCCCTGGAATTAAGGTTATAGATGGGTGTGAGCTGTCATGTGGGTGCTGGGTATAGAACCCAGATCCTCTGGAGGAGCAGCCAGTGCTCTTAACCACTGAGCCATCTCTCAAGATAAAGTATGGTTGGGCATCACAAAGAGGCCTTAGCAATGGCTCTGTCATGTATTTCTATATTGTGAATGACAAATTTCCATTTCCTCAGCTGTAGCTTGAGTATTAGATTTCCATTATCTCAAGGATTAAGTAAGTACAATGTCTGCAAAAATGATTAAGGGTTCTGTGTACACTGTACCAACATGAAGGAGACAAACATCTGACATCAAACGAGAAAGCCTGATGACTGTTAAAAGGTAGCCACAAGTTAGTCCAGATAGTTACCTTAAATATCTTTGAAAAAAATGATAGGAAAAAGCCTGAAGGGAGAAGAAAAGGGACTGATTTGATTAACTTTTTCCACCATTTATCCACCGGATACACAATTACATAGCTTTACCATTCTATCTCAGGACACACTCTGCCTTAGGGAAGACCCTTCGCCAATGACTCTTCAGACGACTGAATCAGAGGGAATAAGATGGTTAGGGATCCTCAAAGACACCTCTGCCTGAAATTGGCTTTAGCTGAATGGTGACTTCTCCCTGACCCTGGTGGGTTCATATGGATCAATACTTGTCCAATTACAAAAAAAAAAAACAAAAAACAAAAACAAAAACAAAAAAAACAAAAAAAAATAACCTTGCAAGATAAACGTGATTAAGAAATGAAGAATTTGGTATTTATACAGAGGGAAACTTCACTTTCCCTCATATTTAAGAATCTGGACATAATGAGTTATTCCAAAGAAAGGATAGTAGGAAATACACAAGAGTAGACCCAGGTGTTGTAAGAATGGACATTCTCCCAAAGCTTGGTGGTACAAGTCTACAATGCTAGCATTAAGGAAGCTGAGGCAGGAGGCTCACCAAAAACCTAAGGCCAGTGTGGGCTATTGTGTGAGACCATGTGTCAAGCAAGCAAGCAAGCAAGCCAAATTCTGGTTCTCCAATAAGTTGCACAACAGTCAATTATAAGAGACCAGAGTGAATGGGGGAAGAAAGGAAGTGATCAGAAATTAGCAAGAAAGCTAGAACTCAGCAGGTGTGGCCAGGGTCAGTCGAATGACCCTAGACAAGGTCTTGAGTGTGCCCCTCAGTTTCCCATCTGGCAAACATCTGCCTCACTGGTTTATTACAAGAAAGAAATCTAATAACATAGCTAGCTAGTAAAAAAAGTGGTTGGAAGCACCTGACAGTCATAAGAACTGGGCGGTAGATCACTATCAATTTAATGCAATATAACTCATCAAATATTGACTGAGCCCTCACTATTTGCCTAGGATTGTATCCCTGGTGCTGGAATTGAAAGGGTCTGAGTAAGATGTCAGGTTAATGACTTGAACAGGATAACATGAATGAAGGCAGTTTGGGCCTGTATCAGAGAGATATTTTTATACACACACACACACACACACATGGTGTTGTCTTAGAGTTTCCATTGCCGTGAAGAGAAACCATGACAACAGCAACTCTTACAAAGAAGAAACATTTAATTGTCATGGCTGACATTTTTAGAGGTTTGGTCCATTATCATCATGGTGCAACATGGAGGCATGCAGGCAGACATGGTGCTGGAGCAGGAGCTGAGGGTCCTTACATCTTGACTCCCAGACAACAGGAAGTGGTCTGCCTCACTGTGCATGGCTTGAGCATATATGCGACCTCAAAGGCCACCCACACAGTGCCACATTTCCTCCAACAAAGCCACACCTCCTAATAGCGCCGCTCCCTTTGGGGGCCATTTTCTTCCGAGCTACCACAGGTGTCTCAGGACTTTTGTGACATAGGTAGTAGAAACTCCGTCTATCAGGCAAGAGGAAGCCGCAAGTGGACATTTCTAAAGCATGTAAAATACCACAGAGCTGTGTAGACCGACATTGGAGGGAGTGAGGATGAGCTACAGGAGAGGAATTGGGTCAAGGTTCCTTGCTGGAGGCACAGCTTAAGGAAAGCATTGGAGGAACCATGCCCGCTCAACATGCAGTCCTGTCATCTTCAAAGGAAAGAAATGGTTGATGCCTAGTCACCCAGAAGGCTGGAGTGAATGTTGTCTGGCAACCCGGTGATTTTTCTTTTTTTTTCTATTCTCAGGAGCCAGGCTTCCTGAGTCCTCCAAAATCCAGGCCCTAATCCTGAGCTTCGTCTCTCAGCAAATAGAACCCATTCTTACGACGAGGTCCCATGTACTTTGCAGCATCCACCAACAGAATCTGTCTGCTCATTACAAATCCCTCCTCTTCAGGCCCTTGGCCCGCCCCGAGCACTGTCTTGCAGTCAACAGAACTCATTCTTGTTGTAAAGGACACACGTGCTTTGCTACCATGCTAGGGCGTTTCTACGTAGCGGTGCCTAGAGCTTTATTGCGATCACTGTCATATGTGGAAACCTTTCTCCGAAGCTTGTCTGTGTTTAAATGTGTACGCAAAGTAAAGAGGTCGAACTCTGGAAGTTCTGACGCAGCGTTTGCAAAGGTGGTGCTGACCATCCAGGCTTCACCTTGCACAGATCATTTCCCTGAAGTCCTTGAAGCTCGCAGGAGTCCCCAACAGTTCCTGATGGGATGACGCCCACAGAAAGTGGAAGTCAGCTGGGTTTGGTGTCACAGGCAGCCTGTGTTTCCAGCAATCAAGAAGGTGAGACAGTTGGATTATAAATTCAAAGCCTGCCCAGGCTACAGACTGAATTCCAGGTCAGCCTGGGCAGCTTGGTAAGAACCCTTCTCAAAGTAACTAAATTGGTCTGGGGATGTAGTTCAAGGGCAGTCTTTATTTGCTACGCGTGAGTCCTGGGTGCCATTCTCAATTAACCCCCACCCAAACAAAACAAAAGAACAAACAGAGAAAAGGCATTTCAGACTAGGAAATGTCATATGCCAGATACAGTGCAGCTTTCCATATTAACATGCTCTTTTTAGCCTTTGTGGTGTTTTTCCAAGTCTCCCAGATTCATCTTTCATACCTCAGAAAATAAAGGTTAGGCCTTGGGAAGAAGGTCCTTAGATTTGTTTTAGTTTTTTTTTTTCCTGGATAGGTCCATATTAGGGCAAAAAAATGGTAGCTTTGGAAAATCAAGTATTTTTAGGAATCTGACCAAAAGTTCTATCTTTTGTCCTAGCAAAAATTTCAGAAAATTTTACACATTATTAATTCATCTAGGTCATCAGTGCTTCAGGCATCTAGTAGCCTAGGCTGTGTGATATCACGGAGAGTCCAGCAGAGGGAGACAGAGGCTAAGTAAGGTGTGGACTCCAGGAGACTTAACTCAGGTCTTCACAGTTTTTGAGTTAATGAGGATACCGAACTACTCCATCCCACCTTTTAGCCCGCCCAGTGTTGAATACAAATCGTCTGAATATGCTAAGAATAGGCCGACTAATGCATTTTCAACTTCGCAAAATTGTCTGCATGTAACCCCATCCTCAACGGACATGCCAAGTTTAATCTGTGCTTGGAAACAGGTATACACCACCTGCACACGGTGAGGAATGGCAGCAGAAAAATAGGAGCCAGTGGAACGTCCCATTCTAAACGGACATGCCAAGTTTAGTCTGTGCTTGTAAACAGATAGACACCATGTGCACTCGGTGATTGGCGGCAGAAAAATAGGAGCCAGTGGAACATGAGTGTAGGTCACGTGCCTAGTGGGGGACCGGATTTACTTTGTCACCAAATACAGCTGTCCCTTTCCTCATCCTTCCTCGCCTTCTCTGTGAGGCCACAAACACTTTGAACTGCCAAATTCTCTTTGGCAGGGTGACAGGATGGCCTCTAGTCACCTGCAGCACTTCCCAGGCCTGTATGTGGCGCTCAAGCCAAGCGACAGCCGAGGTAAGTCCTTGAGCCAGCTCCTGCGACACCTGTTCAGCGGCTGGGGACTTGGTAGGAAGAAATGACTGCAAGGCGGGCCGTCCGTTGTCCCTTGGGATTGGGCTCTTGGCGGCTGGGCGGGACTCCGGCTATGATATAAGAGAGCAGAGAACCACTGTCCCGGCTGCAGCCCTGAAGGTGGAGCCCCAGCTGTGAAAGGGAGGTCATCAGTCCTGCTCTTGCAATCAGACCCAGCTAGACTGAAGAAGACAAGGTCTAATTTCTATATATTCATGTATTTAGTTTTGATAACTGGAAGGCAGGGTGGATATGAAGATGTGGCAAAGGCTCGTGCTGACCCGGAGCCCTAGACGTTTGGGATCTAGAACTAGAGGATCCAGAATCTAGGATTTCAGAGGATCTAGGGAGGGATCCACTGGACTCCAGGCGCCCAAACTCAACTGTTTTTCTCTGTGTTGCAGGCACGCTTCCATCCGCCACGCTCAACCCCAGGCTACAAGGATGAGGCTCCTCAGTCGACTCCGCTCCTCCGCTCCTGAGCCCGCCTTCTCCAACGTGCTCACCCCGGGCCGCATCCCTGAGTTCTGCATCCCCCCGCGGCTGCCGGTCCCCGGCGTGGCCGAGTCGGCACACCCGGCGGCCGCACTGCCTTGGCGCTGCGCGGCCGAACCCGACCTGTGGCCGCGCACCCCAACCGACCACGACGATAATGAGTACGACCACGCGGGTCGCACCGACTGGGACCCGCGCTCACAAGCCGCGCTCTCGCTGCCGCACCTGCCCCGCGCACGCACCGCCTACGGCTTCTGCGCGCTGCTCGAGAGCCCGCACACGCGCCGAAAGGAGTCGCTCTTCCTCGGCCACCCAGGAGTTCCCCGGCCCGGACTTCGCCGCCGCGCGCACACCTACGCGGGCCCGCGCCCAGCCTCGGACTCTGCGCGCGCCGCCCCGATTCATCTGGACACTGCCCCGCCACCTGCTCCTGTGCCCCGCGTGCGTCGCCTCCTGCGCGCCTCGGATGGGCTGCTGAGCCGCGCGCTGCGGGCTCCTCGAGGTCGGGCTGGTGCGCGCCCCGCGCCCAGTGGAGACAAACAGGAGAGCGCCGCCTCCTGCGCGCCCCCGGATCCCACCGGCCCGGATCCCAAGCGCCTGCAAGCCGAGGCCAGCGTGGCTCTGGGCCGCGGGGATTGCACGCTGCACCTGGCCGCCGAGTACTGTCCGCGCAGCGCGTGTCTCCGCCTCCGCCTGCTGCGCGCTGAGGGTCCGGCCGCCGCGCTCGAACCCCGAACCCTGGGCTGCCGCCTCAGCCTGGTGCTGCGGCCGTCGGGCCAGCAGCGCGCCAGCGTTCTCCACCGCAGCCGCAAGGCCGCCCTGGACCAGGACTGCTGCTTCGATGGGCTCTCGGAGGAGCAGCTGCGCCGCCTGGCCGTGCGCATCAAGGCTGAGAGCAAGGGCCGCGGGCTGGAGCGTGGAAGGCCGCTGGGCCAGGGTGAGCTGCTGCTGGGCTCGCTGCTGCTGCTCTGAGCCCTGATTCCGTGGGGCCATGGACACTGAAGGTCTCTTGGACCTGAGATGCTCACACTCTTGGCTTTCGGACATTCAGAGCCTCTTGGACGCTGACAGTGCCTTGGCCCTGGGGCACACACAACCTCTTGGTTCTGGTACACTTTCCCTTTTGTACAAAATAAAAGTTATTTATTTTTCTATGTATGACCTTGCAGTGTTGATGTTTTGATTCCTTGGCCTCCACTTTTCTCGTTACTTTTTGGTAGCAAAAGAAAAAATTTTTCTTCGGTCTATTCACATACCCGATCCTCTTTCAGACCATTATAATAGTCAAAAGGAAACAAAACAAAACCAAACAGGTTCACCCTGGAGTGGAAGAGTGAGAACCATAGCACACTCACGTGCTTGTTTTTCCTGTTCCCCTACTTTGTGGGAACACTGAGGTTCACATGGCTTAAAAAAAAAAAACAAAAACAGGATTCATTCATTCATTGGTAAAGTGCTTACAATGCAGGCATGATGTCCTGAATTCTGTCCCTGGAACCCATCTTTTAAAGAGCTGGGCCTGTTGGTGCGCAATTGCTAATTCCAGCACGGGAGAGGCAAACAGATTCCCCCCGGGGTTTGCTGACCTGCCGCCAATCTAGCCTCCTTGGTGATCTTCAGCCCAGTGGGAGACCCTGTCCCAGACAGGGAAGTGGATGGAGATGAAGAACAGAGGTTCTAACTTGGCAGCCAGGTGTGCACACACGATTGATTATTCTTTCAAAATCACTCCAGACATTAAGCTCCATTACAGTGTTTTTCATAAGTGGTACTCACTTTCTCAGTTGTATGTACATCTAATCCCGGGAGAGGCCCTCCTCTGTTCCAAGGACATGTTGGTGAGGAGAATCCTGAGAAGCAGCAGGACCCTTTTGTAAGAGAATTCTTCACACACAAGAGGCAAGAGAAGAATGTGGAACCTGGAGGGGATGATGGAGATTCCTTTTCTTCCTTTTGTTTCTTCATTGGGGGGATATTTCTGGCCTCTCTAAACAAATTGTTTTTGTGGCTTGTTCCCATCCAGCTGTGTGGTTGAGTTACAGGCTGCTGAGGTTTCCAGTAGGACTTCCTAGATGAGTTAAAATCAGTTGTCAATTTTTTGAACTGTGGGTTCTAAGAGTTTGTTTTTGTTTTTGGTTTTTTGTTTTCGAGACAGGGTTTCTCTGCGTAGCTTTGCGCCTTTCCTGGAGCTCACTTGGTAGCCCAGGCTAGCCTCAAACTCACAAGAGTTTTTAAAAAAGGTTTATTTTTCTTTATTTTTCTTTTGAAATTATGTAGAGGTGTGTGTACCTGTGGACATGTGCACCTGAGTGCAGGTGCTGGTGAAGGCAGAAGTATTGGATGCCCTGGAGCTGGAGTCACAGGAGGAGGTTGTGAGCCATCTGACTTGGGTGCAGGGAATGGAACTTAGGTCTTGGGTCAGAGTGGCAAGTGTTCTTAACCACTGAGCCATCTCTTCAGCCCAATAAGAGTTTCTTAATATGGTTTGTTTTTATCTGTTGACTCTTCAACTAGATTGGAGCTCACCGGAAACTGATTACACCCAAAGGGTTACCCACAGTATAGTAGAAAGTCAGATAGACATGGAAACAGATGAGGTCAAATCTTTTTTTTTTTTTTTCTTTCTGCCAGGTTGCTTGTTCAAGTGTCCTTTGCTTCATTAGTGAAACATTTACCTCTGGGGGTTTTACAAAGAGATGCTTGGACCCCAGTCAACTCTTTTTTTTTTTTTTTTTTTTTTTTTGGTGGTGGTGAGGGGCAGTTCGAGACAGGGTTTCTCTGTGTAGTTTTGGAGCCTGTCTTGGATCTCGCTCTGTAGACCAGGCTGGCCTCGAACTCACAGAGATCCGCCTGGCTCTGCCTTCCTAGTGCTGGGATTAAAAGTGTGCGTCACCGCCACCTGGCACCCCAGTCAACTCTTGAAGCAGGACAGAGTGGAGCTGCACAGATGGACAGGTGCTCTGTCACAGTCCAGGAGGCAGACTCCTCTGCTTTCTACCCAGTGCTTTCTCTGTGGTTCTCAAATGCAGCCGAGATGATGGTCAGCTGATATGGAAGACACAGGTGACCCAGCAACATGAATGCAGAATGCCTTAGGTTTGCCATACTCACTTTATCCATATGCAGCAGCAGCAGCAACAACAACAGTAATAGTAATAATAATAATAGTAATAATTTATTCTCATTCTGTATCAGAAAGCCTCTTCCCACTGTTGTTAGCAAAATGAAGTCCTGGGTACCAATACAAATCTTGCATTAAATATAGTTTCAAAGTGGACAGATCAATACTTAAAAAATCTATCATTTAAAACTGAGAACTCATCACAGAGACATTTTCACAAAGCCATGTAGCTAGTGCATAAAGCTGACCTTAGACAAGATGTCGCGACTTCTCCAGATGACTGGCCCACCCTGTGTTGTCTCACTCACAGTCTTTTAACCCCCCTCTCTGCCATAGGTGTCATACTAAGCACAGAGGGGACAGCTGTGAACAAGATAGACAAGGGAATAGTAAAAAAGGAAGGAGGAGGAAGAGGAGGAGGAGAAGGAAGAGGAGGAGGAGGAAGAGGAACCAAAAGCAAGTTTTATTACTGTGGATTACAATAACTATCACCAAAAAAAGCAAATAAAGAAAGCTGACAGAGACCATTGGGTCTGGAAAGCAGCAGATGTTTTCAGAGACAAAGCAGCCAGGAAGATTTCTCCGAGGCCTGCAAAGGGAATAAACCACAGGAGGAATTAAATTCAGCACAGCTGAATAGCCCCTCACTACGTCGTTATAATCCCGTGGCAGGTTGTATTCATAGCCCCAAGCCAGAACTCTTCTTTCCTTCCCAACATCATCTCTCCTAGTCTTCTTATCTTAATAAGTGGAATAATCACGTTTTCTTCTTTTTACATCTCTCTGTGTGTGCATGTGTGTGAGCACACATGCATGCAGTTGCCATGCGAGCCTTAGGCGTCAGCCATCACCTCCCACCTTATTTGAGACAGGTTCTCTTTGTCTGCCCGTGTACACACTGGGACAGGTGAGCTGCAAGCCTCCAGGGACTTGTCTTCCTCTCTGTCCCATCTCACCACAGAAGTGCTGAGGTTACAGACCTGTGCTACCACAGCTAAGCTGTGTGTGGGTCCTGGTGATCTGCACTCAGGGACTCAGGCTTACACAGCAAGTGAGCATTTTGCTTATTGAGACATCTCTCAAGCCCACTGTCATTCATCCTGTCACTCAAGTCAAGTGGAGTTGTCCTTGACCCCTCTGCTTCATGTTTTACTTTACTTCGATGAGAATGTCACTTCGTACAAAGTCCTGACTCCACTGTCCTCAGGCGCGAACACTTCTTTATTTTCCCTTCCCTTTCCTCTCTCTCTCTCTCTCTCTCTCTCTCTCTCTCTCTCTCTCTCTCTTCTTTTCCCTCTCCCTCCCCCGTCTCTCTGTGGCACTGTTACTACCCCATGTTACACTGCATGCTTTCTGTGTTATTTGTACATTTCCCTTTTGCATGACAATGTGTGCTTTATAAATGTAGGAACTTGGTTTACATGTTCGTTGCTCTGTCTCAGATGCCTGAAGCTGAGCACAGCATATTCTAAACACTCAATAAATATTGCCCAAACTAAGTGTGGGAAGGATGATGGGATAAACACAAAGAGTAGGAGGACCAAACTCTGAGTCAGTGCAACCTTCAGAAATTCGATAAAGGAGAAGACCTCAGGGTATAGAGGACAGTGAACCCCCAGCGTCAGTGTGTATCTCAGACCAGAAAAGAAGGGTATGCCCATGTGGTTGAGAACAGGGGTTGTAGGCTTGGACGAGGACTCCAAATGGCTATTGGGGCCAAACAGAGTGTACAGGGTCAGATATCCTCCAGGAAGGCCCCGAGAGGCCACTGTGTAAAGTTGTGAAGGTGAAACTTAAGTTGCAGTGGAGACTCCAGGATGCTGGAGATGTCTTAACAGTGAGATGTCCACTGAGGGAAGCTACATGCAGAGAATGGAACATGTCCAAGAGAGGGCCTATGTGTGCCACCGGTGACCAAGCTGGAGGGGCGGGGCCACCCAAGTCTTTTTAGAGAGCAAATGATTCCATCATGCGCCCCAGGCACCTGACACGGAAATTTGGGACTCGGTGTTTGCCCTGCTGGGTTTCTGCCATGATGAAGGTTTCTTTCCTTCCTATGTCTATATTTCTACCTGTTGGAATGGTACTACATGTTCTGTCCCATTACATCTCAGAAACAAGTGAGTAAAAATCTTTTATTAGATTTAAACATTTTTATTTTGTGTTCAAACACATGGGTATATATGTGTGTGGGTATATGCGTATGGGTACACGCATGCCATAGCATGTATGTGGCGGTCAGGGGACAACTTGTAGGAATCGGTTCTCTCTTTCCATGATGTGGGCTCCAGGGATTGAACCCAGGTCATCAGGTAGCAGTAGTCACCTTTACCAACTGGACCATCTCTCTGACCCCTGTAATTTGATTTTTGATGTTGTGGGGGCTCACAGTTAAGAGATCACTTGAGTCCTGAAAGTGGTCACACTTGCACTTTTTTATAGTGTTGGCATGGTTAAAGATGATAGAGATTCTTAAAGTTGGACTGAACGAATTTGCAGTATGAGATGACCATGAGCCTATGGAAGCAAGATATGGAAAATTAGGACTTGAAAGCAGTATGTTCAGATGTCAAATTGATAAGAGGTGGACTTATTTATTTATTTAAATTTTGCTTTTGTTTTGTTTGTTTGTTTGTTTGTTTGTTTTGAAACAGGACTTCTCTGTGTAGCCCTGGCTGTCCTGGAACTTGCTCTGTAGACCAGGATGGCCTCAGACTCAGAGATCCTCCTGCTTCTGCCTCCCAAGTGCCTGGCGAAGGGTGGACTTATGATGGTTAATATTGATTGTCAAATTGATGGAATCTAGAAGCCCTTGGTAGACAAAACTCTGGGCATGTCTATGAGAAAATTTCTAGATTACATTGAGGTGAGAAGACCCACCCTAAATGTAAGAAAACATTATTTCATGGGCTAGGCACCAGAGGTGAATGAAAAGGAGACAGCGAACTGAGCACTGGCATCCATCTCCTCTGCTTCCTGACTGCTGACGCAACGTGACCGGCCGCATTCCGCCTCTGCCTCCGCGTCTTCTCCACCAC